CGGATCCATCATCCATGGAAGAACATTACTTCGATTGTAAAGTGGAAAAATTCCTTGTATGTTGGTTCTTCTGAAATGCGTAATAAGCTCTATTCTTCGATCTTTCCATCAATTATCATTCTTTCCCTCTTTTTCCTCTTCCTTTACTCCACTTTCCTCCCTCTTTATACCAATAACGACTCCTCTTCACTGCCCACTAAGAAGTTCCTTCCTTTATCCTCTTCTTCTACTTGTAACCTTTTTGATGGCAATTGGGTGTTAAACTCCACCAAAGCCAAGCCTTTCTACGATGAGACCTGCCCATTTCATAGAAACGCCTGGAATTGTCTTAACAACAAGAGGGACAATATGGGAATCATCAATTCATGGGAATGGGTACCCAAAGATTGCAACTTGGAGAGAATTGATCCCTCGAGGTTCTTGAGTTTGATGAGGAATAGGAATATTGGGTTTGTTGGGGATTCTTTGAATGAAAATTTTCTGGTGTCTTTTTTGTGTATTCTTAGAGTGGTTGATGGGGGTGCTAAAAAGTGGAAGAAAAAGGGAGCTTGGAGAGGGGCTTATTTTCCCAAGTATAATGTCACAGTTGCCTATCACAGGGCTGTTTTGCTTGCCAAATATAAGTAAGCTTTGTTTACTTTCATTGATAGTTTTTTCCCCCAAATTGATTGAAAAATGCCATTGATATAATTTTATGTCCTATTTGTTATATTGTGATGCTTAGAATTTCACAAAACCAGATAGCAAAAAGAAAGTTGCTTGCTGAAACTGTGTTAAGCAATGAGTAGGCCATGTTTATATCAATCTATTAGAGGAAACTGGTAAAATGAAGCCACTTCCATTAGAGCCTTCATTAATGTTGTCGTCATGAAACATTTTGCCTACACGTTATGTTGTTTAGTTTTAACTTCCTCTTGTTGACAACAAAATCTGAAAGTTTTGTTCTTCCAAGGTTTCACGGCAACGGCTCCCAGTGTTGTTGTTCTTAATTTTTTTATTTAGTGATTCTTGGAATTATGTTTTCCCATTTTAATGATGTAGACCATCATGGATTAAACTGCAAGTGGTGTTTTATCTGCAATGAGAATTGAAAGCCCTCATATTTTCATTCTCTGAAATCTTTTTCGGATACGGGATTGCATTGTAGTTGCCATGACCGATGAATTTTTGGTTGGGATGGCTCTCTTCTGATTATTCCACTTGCCAAATTCCCTCAGTATTGTCCTGTATGTTTTAATATTAAGATCTGAATTGGAATGTCGTATCAGAGTTGACATCACTGTTTTTACCAAACTGCTGACGACTTTGACATGTTGTTTTGATCGGGAAACCAGTTTCTGACTTGATTGTTAGCAAATTTTCTTTTCAATGCTATGACTTGGAACTATTTTCTTATTTTAGTATCAGTAACATATGTAATATGGATTCTTATGTTGTTTCATTGGTCTTTCTTTGTTGTATGTTTCACCTACTTTTGCATTACTGAAAAAGGTGGGAGCCAAAACAATCTGCAGTTTCTTCTCAAGATGAACTAAAAGGAGTATACCGAGTGGATGTTGATATTGTTGCAGATGAATGGAGCAGGATCACCGACTTCTATGATGTTCTCGTTTTCAACACTGGCCATTGGTAATTTCTTTCATCTAAATTATAGAAGATGTTGGTCAATTAACATCTCTCTTTTTGTTATTATTTTCTGTCATCATAAGGGCTTAATATATAATTTTGAAATGCTTTTCTGATGAAATGTAGAGTATCTTAATACATACATAACACACTTCCCTTCATTCATATGCCTATGCATGTGCGGCGCAGTTATCCTGGGCCATTCCTCTTCGAGAACATCCTGTGCTAACCTTTGATTTTATCTTTGATTAGGTGGGGCTATGATAAATTCCCAAAAGAGACTCCTCTAGTATTTTACCGGCATGGGCGACCAATAAATCCTTCCCTGGGATTATTGGATGGCTTTCAAGTGGTTCTTGAAAATATGGTTCACCACATTCAAAAGGAGGTTCCTAAGAAAACTCTCAAGTTCTGGCGGTTGCAATCGCCGAGACATTTTTATGGTGGCGAGTGGAATCAAAATGGTAGTTGCTTGTTTGACAGACCCCTTGAAGAAGACCAGGTATCAGTTGATAACTTTTAATCATTCTTCAGTTGCAATGTCAAGGTTGTTTTTTTTTTCAATACTCCATTTAGTTTAGTCACATGATATTGCCAACTCTAGTCTTTTTTAATTTCATTGGCATGCCTTGCATGACAATTCATCCAATGTTAGTATGGTTTAAAACAGAATCTAATATTGGTCTAATGAAAACCATTTTGAATTCTAAACCTATATTTGGAATGTGCACTGGTATATTTACATTGGATTCGATACTAATGCCTGGACAGCTTGACTTGTGGTTCAATCCCAGCATCAACGGAGTGAATAAAGAAGCAAGAACACTTAACCATCTAATTAAAGAGGCAGTGCAAGGCACAGATATTCAGGTGCTTGATCTGACTCATTTGAGTGAGTTCAGAGCAGATGCCCATCCGGCAATTTGGTTAGGACAGAAAGATGCCGTGTCGATATGGGGCCAGGACTGCATGCACTGGTGCCTACCTGGTGTCCCTGATACATGGGTTGATATACTTGTGCAACTAATCCATAATAGCTTCTAGACAGGATGACGAAATGTGAAGAGAATCTAATCAAGTTTTTTACATGTTCACCTTGGATAATGCCGACCATCTTCCTCTTCGTGCAATGGATACACCTATATGTGAATGTGAATGTGAATTTGCACAGGTGAATGCCATAAGATTGGTGTCTTTGGAGATAAATGAGAGTTGACTGTTTGTAAATTAAACCCTGCTGCCTATAAGATTGCTTTTTATGGGCGTTATTTTACTCTTCTTTTTCCATTTTTCGGTTTTGGGGGTGGGGATCGAAAGATCAAGTTGAGGAATTCATCTACATTTCATAGGTTTAATATTCAAATGTGTAGAAAGAATGCCCATTTTTTAACTCATTCATTTGATTCTGTTCATGCTTTTAACATTTCTGAACTTTGAAGTTAAATGTAAGTGCAGCTTATTGTTAGCATATTGATCACTTGAAACATATTGGAACCGACTTAAGCGTACATGCAACGTTGACTAGATGACGGATGAATCTAGGCAGGGACGGCCGGGGCAATTGATTCTCCCTCGAAATTTCAAATTATCATATATTTTAGATGTTTTATATATTTTCTATTAATAATTTGTTTTTGCATTCTCTTATAATTTTACAAGTTCACATCTCTTAAAATCTTAGAAATTCACTATCCTAACATAAAATTTGACATCTGTCCTCTGGACAAGAGAGTTGCTTATTCCATTTTATTTTTTTGATTTATTTCTGGTGGATCTTTCTCCAGTATGGAAGTTACTTCAGCCTTTGGAAAAGAATAAGAGAATCAAAACTCTCATCTGAAATGGTGTATTCCATTTGTAAACTCCCATAGAAATCTTGTTTTGCTGAGACATTAAAAAGCCTTGCCACTTATGTTGTTACTATAAAAATGGGTATGTTATGTAAAACCAAAGACTTGGTGCTATTACGGGAAGAATAACAAAATATTTGTTTATGGATTTTTTTTGTTTCGTATTTAATTTTTTTTATTGTTTTAAACTATTTTATTCAGGGTAAACTATATAAATGGATCACTGAATTTTTAAGGTGTTTTCACTTTAATTATAAACATTCATTAAATATGTAATTCGTTTTCATTATGGTTATCGGCATTAACTGTCGTTAAAAATACTGACATGACATGTTAAAGCATTTTAAGGTTTTAAATTTGTAGTCACCGTTAAAATTAAATTTTTATGAACAAAACGACCGTCAATCAATTTTAACGACGAGAACAATTGGTTTGATCAAAAAATTGATTTGACTTTTAGATAAAATGTTTTAATTTTTAGTTTCAATTAGGATTTACTTGAAATTTGAAAGGATTAAAATATTTTTTAATAAGTTTGAACACAAAAGAGAGAGAGAGGAGTAGTTTGACGATCTTTTCAACGGTAGAAATCAACAAATGATAAGAGACAACAATCCAAGAGAAACTAATAGCTAAAATTTTTCGATATACTATTGTTAATCGTTAGATTATCTTGAAATCGAATTGTATTAATCTTTTGATCAAACAAAACATTTTTATTATTAGTATGATCATCGATCACTTTATTTATAAAAATTAAAAGTTTTTAAGAAAGAAGACTCCACGTTAGCAGTTGTAACGATAACTAACTATATTGATCATAATGAAATCGAATTAAAAAAATTAATAAATATAATATAAGTTTTAAAAGTGTAATGATTATTATTATTATTTTCACAAAATGAATATTATTATTGTTAGGTGAGGTAGTTTTTTTTGTCCACAAAAGTTTAAGTTATGGGTGGCTCCCAGTCCAGGGTCAGGACATATCTTAGATTCAATTGAGATTTACATAGGACTTTACAGATTACCCACAAAAAATAAAAGTGGTGAAATTCGAATTTGGCCTCGGCAAGTGAGGTAGTTTGTTTTAATTAGCTGACCTTATTCCCATATGTAATGGGATAAGTGGAGGTAGGATAATAGACTGCCAACGCCAGGTTGAGAGCAACTTCCGTGGGAGACCTCTGACAGTCAGAATTATGATAGGACTTTACAGATTACCCACAAAAAATAAAAGTGGTGAAATTCGAATTTGGCCTCGGCAAGTGAGGTAGTTTGTTTTAATTAACTGACCTTATTCCCATATGTAATGGGATAAGTGGAGGTAGGATAATAGACTGCCAACGCCAGGTTAAGAGCAACTTCCGTGAGAGACCTCTGACAGTCAGAATTATGAATTGCCCACCATAAGGCTCGATCTCACGACCACATGATTAAAAGCATTGCACTCTACCAACTGAGTAGACGAGCAATTATGAGATAGTTTGTTTTGTATTCATTAAATCTTCTAATTAAATACATAAAAAAGTGTCATTCTAAATAAAGAAAAAACGAAAGAAAAAAAAAGCGGAATCAGCCGGATTAATAAAACCCTAAATCCCTATTTTTTTCCTGGAATTCTGAGTATTTTTTAATTAAAATCCGTTCGAACATGGCTTCTTTAGAGATCGAGGTGGTATCATCAGAATCAGAACCAAAAACAACCCAACAACAATACTCTACTCAACAAATCCCTATAATCGACGTCTTCTCGGCCTCTGCTTATGGAGATTTTGATAAACTGAGAAAATTCGTGGAAGAAGATGACGCCTCACTTGCAACACCTGACGGTAACAGCTATTACGCCCTTCAGTGGGCTGCTCTTAACAACTTCTCAGATATTGCTCAATACATTATCGAGGTAAATTCGGATTTTTTTATCAACTTTCTGGTGGATTTTTCCTGAGAATTAAATAACTTTTTTTGGGTTAAATGTAATTGAAGCATGGTGGAAATGTGAATGCAACTGACAACCACCAGCAGACAGCTTTGCACTGGGCTGCAGTTAGGGGTTCGATTGCCGTGGCAGATGTGCTCTTGCAAAATGGAGCTCGAGTCGAAGCAGCTGATCTCAATGGTTATCGTGTAATTATTTTTTTTTCTTTTATCATTAGTTATCTATTGAGTCTTGGTTGTCCATATCTCCTTATGGGGCTGTAAAAGGCTTCATTTTTGTCCGGATTACGTGTCCAGTAGATTTTTTTTTAAAAGAGTGTCCACTAGATTTAAATACTGCACCAGGGGCATGATTTATACTTAAACCAATCTATTTTCATCTTCATGCATGTAATAATAGTATTTACTTTACTGCAGTGCATCTCAGGACTTAATGTTTTTTCTAATGCAGCCAGTTCATATTGCTGCACAATATGGGCAAACATCTTTCTTAAATCATATTGTTGCAAAATATCAGGCGGAATATGATGCACCTGATAACTGTGGGAGGTCGCCTCTTCATTGGTATGTTTTATGAAATAGGTTAAATGTATATTTCAGAATATTGGTTTACAGCATAAGATCATTTTAGTCTAAACTCTAATATATTCAACTAATTGTTTATTGGGCAGAGCCAAATAATTAGTACTATTAATTTGATATAGTCTTGTAGTATGTTTTTCTTTTTGGCTATTTATAATATTTTATGAATGAAAATGGTTATAGTTGCTCATGGATGAACCAATATCACTTTTTTGAATGGGGCTATCCCCCAACTATACAGGCTAGTACCAAGAGGATATAACAATTAGGTGTCATGTTTGTAAAACTGGGTTTTTCCCTACTATACAAGCAGCTAAGAGGGTATAGTGATCTGGTTGTTGTAGCATATTTGGGGAATGAAACTATGAAAACTTTCACATGCGACTTTGGGTATGTAGTTGATGTTTCCCATATATCCAAGCTGGAGGCAACCTGCATTGTCAGTCCTAAGTGCTTTCAAATGAACCCTTTCATTTGGTGGTTTTGTCATTAACCATTTGTTCCAAAAGTCATAGGAGTTCAACGAAACTGGTAATTGGTTAAGTTCTTACATTACTTTCTATTTCTTTGAGGTCATACTATTTGATTTGGGCAATGCCTAGATTGAGATTCATCGTTGTGTGGTCCTTTGAGGTCCCTTAGATGAACTGTTGGATTTGGTGGGTTTTTAATTCATCATTAGATCCAAAAGTTATACAGGTTGAATGGAGCTTGACTGGTTAAGTTCTTACATTACTTTCTATAACTAGGTTGTTCTAAAGTGTAGTGAATTCTATTAATTACAATTTCCAATCATATGATGTGTTAAACAGGGCTGCATATAAGGGATTTTCAGATACAATTAAATTGCTTCTATTTCGAGATGCATTTCAAGGGAGACAAGACATTGAAGGTACCATTCGACAGTTAATGTTTGCACTGTCTCACATGCAAGTTCTGTAGTTAATGTGTTGAATCCTTATGGAATTATCTTTATGATTTAAAGTTTTAACGGTGCTGGGAATCTTCTATTTTCTTACCGAACTCTGAACATCATTACGATTTATTCAGTGTGCTAGGCTAAAGATTATTCTCTAACCGCTTTAAAACTTCCAACTAAGTTTGATTTCATATACTCATTGCTGCCAGGTTGCACTCCATTGCACTGGGCTGTACTGAGAGGAAATGTGGAGTCGTGTGTGTTACTTGTGCATGCAGGCACAAAGAAGGAATTAGCGGTAAAAGATAAAGCTGGAAACACCCCTCTTAAGCTTGCATATGAAAAAGGTCATCAGCAGATTGCCCGTTTCCTTGTATGTAACTGTGTAGTTATGTTTTTCTTGCTTTTGTTTACCTAAAGTAAACTTTGAATCCTAGAGTTGTGGATGTGGTCTCTAAGAGGAAACTGACCTTTGGGATTAACCAGATGTATTGTCTCTGGATTCTTGTTAGTTTTGATTTTTGGGGACCCATTATTTAAGACGTTGCCTTTCTAGGGTGTATGTGAGGGTGTGGTGGAGCTTGAATCTTGTTTGTTTGGCTTCAAATATTAAGGACTGGAACAGCACATCTATCATCTAACATAGATACTATTGCACTGTAAATCAGTAAAATGTGTATATTTCATATAGAATGGTATTATCACTTCTCTAGTTTATTGCTTTTCGAGCTCTAGAGTTGTATGGTTAATTTAATTTGACGTCTGGTTAGAAACGAGTTCACAGAGATGGTTTACTCAGAATTTGCATCAAATTCTCAAACCATTCCATGTGACATCCCCTATTTTTACACTCTTAACCTTGGGTATCTTGTAGACTTTGTGGCTGTTTAATTTCCTTGTGTTGTTTTGATTTTGTTCAGTCTAAAGCAGATAGATCCAATAGCAAACGATTGGTGGACAGAATTCGCAGTGGGAAGATGGGGGAAGTTGGTTATGCTCCTATATTGTTTTGCTTTGTCGTTGTTCTAATTATCCTCTTCATCAACTCAGTACTTACTAGTGAGTAGACTATGATATTTAAGTAATGGACATGTTTGCTTTTTGCCATCAATCATGAATAATCCCTTTAAGTTGCATGTAGCTCCAAGTCTTCCTAAGGTAACTGCCATTGTTGGACTTTGGGGATGGATTGGTGTTTCTCTAGGTATTGCGTCATTGATTATGTTCTACAGGTGTAGTAGGTAATTGTTATGCTCTGGCTTTACTTTCATTGAGTTGATTTTACATTTTTTTTAATTTTCTGGTTTTCTAATTTGGAGCATGGTGCATGAAATATTGTTAAACAAACTTTGGTAATCTAATTGTATTACTTATCATTATATTTCTCTTTCGATTATTTGTTTATAGAGCACATTGCAATGTTCAATAGATGTTTAGATGTGTCTTTTCTTGTGTGGTGCTTTTGAATGTTTGAACAAAAATTGGAACATTTGACAATTTTTTATCTGTTTAAGTAAACTACTCAGTAAACATTTTATGATATTTGTAATTTCTGACCTTTAAATGAAACCATTATCTGATTTTAAACAAATTTTGACTTTTTAAATCTCTTTTCTCTTTTTCCTGATTTTCTTTCACAATTCTCTGCAGCAAAGATCCAGGCTATATAAAAAAATTTAGAAGATTGGATGGCTATGAAGATACAGAGGTATGAGAGTTTCTGTGTAATTGGTTATAAACTTTAATCTTGAACTGCGGCTAGGAATGGATAAAAGCTCAACTTCTGTGGAGATTGCTATATTGGTTAGGCACGGATAGCAGTAGTCTTTAAGTGAGCTTGGTCCTGATGCACATGGTATCATTTTTTCCTAAAAAGTTTTTACAGTTAACAAATCCCACATGTCATAATGTAATATCAATAACTTTTCTGTTTATATTTGTTTCTAGCACACGGTGAATTTGAGGCTTAAACTTACCGTAAATGGACAATCCATTTCAGTGTCTCTTGAATCTCTAGTTCCCAATTAGCTGGCAGAAGTAGGGACAAAAAGTTCTCTAGATTAGCCATTATTATGCATTAAATCAAGAGTTTGAGGACTGAGCCAGGCTGTATAAAAGGTCTAGCTTTGGAGATGCAGAAAATTTCTATGTGGCATGAGTGGGGTAAAGGGGAGTGAGCTTGTAACACCCCCAACCCGTACCCGACCTGGATTCGAGTCCGATGTGTCACATTGACTTTTCAAAACATTTACTTGTATAAAATAGTGAGTAATTTAAAAAAAAACTTTGATAACATTTAACTTATTCAAAACGTTTACAAAATATATCAGAGTTCATACAATTTATATCCTTAGATTACATGCCAACTACACTCTATAACCAGTACATATATTTTCTGATCTGACATTTGGTAAGGAGAACTGACCTGTCTTGCTCCGCATTACTCTTTACTCTTCTCGAAACCTACGTGTGAAACAATCACACGCTAAGTCGAAGACTTAGTGAGGCATAACAACTTATAATGCACTTTATAACATATATCAATACATGCATGTTCTGTTCTATCATGTTATACCAATTCCATGCATTCTTCGTATCATATAAAATCATATCAGATTAATTACAGTAAATACATACATACACATAATTCATCATTAACAGTTTATCATGTAATCACATACTTTTATGGTTAACCTTTTCAATCAAACACTATACACACACAACATCATATCATTTCTATAACATTTATCGTACCACTAACATATATTTGTTCATATCTCTGGATTAGCCCATGTACATATGTGAGAACTATCGATATGTGAGTCTATAGAGGTTGTGCACTAATGCTGTCACCACAGCTCGTATAATTGCACCGAAGTGCCGCGTAGAATTGCACCGTAGTGCCATATAATAATGTCCATAAGGACCACGTATTATTCCTTAAGAATCATATACATATACTAGGGATCAAGTATGTGTCTTTCAAGACTTCACACATGTTCCACAGAATATATATATATCCCGAAAGACCGCGTAGAATTGCACCGTAGTGCCATATAATAATGTCCCTAAGGACCACATATTATTCCTTAAGAATCATATACATATACTAAGGACCAAGTATGTGCCTCAAAGACCTCATAAATGTTCCAAAGAATATACATGTCCCGAAGGACCGCGTAGACCCTCGACTCTTGGCATGCCAACTATACCCCTAGCTCTCATGACACATAACATGGGCATTATCATTTATTTCATTTCAAATATTCACATAAACATGTAATTCACTTTCACATATCACGTATCACATAGCTTCTTTTCATATTATCACATAGTCACATAGTTCACTTACACGTAGATCATTTCCATATAATTCACATGTCACATATCTCATGTTCTTGTATAATTTCTATCATTTCTCACCCAATCACATTTATTCATGTAAACATACTTATCATATCTTGTTCACATAAGATCATATACTTCATATAACAAATAGAAACACCTAGAACACTTTCACTTAGCTTATATCAATTTTCAGAGTCCTTTCATATTATCTGATGACATATATCATATAGATATATATAATAACTGATATCATATTATCTACCTTATGCTCCATTTCTTTGTATTCCCTTTTTCATATCAGCATATATTTAAATATTCTTATATGTCCTATCAATATCCTATAAACTTATTCATATTCTCATATATCATATTTTAATATAATTTGTATAGTAATAATCTATAATTGTATCATATAATGATTTTACCCAAGTATTCATTTATAAAGTTTATATTACATGTTCAATTAGTCTCATACTATCTTATAAATAATTTTCATTTATTTTATATCATTTTCCTTTTCCACTCACATAAACCATCTATTTATTTAGTTCTATTTCTCATGACTTCCTCAATACTCTTTAATAAAACTTTGTAGCTCTTCACTATAATACATAAACCATAGTTTCCTTTAATTTATCAATCTTCCCTATATTACTTATGTATCCTTATTTATGCCCTCGAATTCATACTATTCTCTTAGAGTCTCCTAACATTTCTCGTATAATTACTTATACCATATCATATAACTTATACTTGATTATCTTATTCTCTCATATTCATTTCATTTCTTATGACTCTATCATATAACTTATTTCATGTTCTTCCATTATTACATATTAAAGTCTTACATACATCATATAACATATACAAAGCATATCCTTATCTTTAGTCATGCATACATACAATCAATGTAATACAGATAATCACATATAATTATAACTACACATAATCATGTCCATGACTTCATGCATATTACTCTAGGAAATAGACTCATCGCAAGTCTTATTTCCATTAAACACTACATATCACTAGTATGCACTCACCTGGGCCTCGTTGTTTGAATCAATCCTAATCCTTAGTTTGTTCCGGAACAAGCTTTCATTCTATATCTACATAATAATACATTAATACTTATCAGTATACTGATTGATATATTCGAAACTATCACTCTTTAGTCTCAAAGAAAAGCCAATTTCATCTTTTAATGAAGGTATGCATCGATGCACTACACCATGCATCGATGCATAAATCCTATTCGATGTTTGTATTTAATGGGATGCATCGATGCATAAATCCTATTCGATGTTTTCTATTTAAATTCATGCATCGATGCACTGCATGTGCATCGATGCACCTTAAACAATTTCTGGTATTTATCATCGATGCATCGGTGCACAATGAATGTGCATCGATGCACATTGCCCATAACTGACATTTTAGCACGTAAATCATCAACTCTTCCCTTAATTCTTCTATTTTAAGCCCCTCTTATGACATTAAACTCAACTACTATAACTTGAACCAACTTATATCCATGTAAATCATCTTTAACCTCAAAATCCTATCTTCTTTATGAGATTCAAGAATCATACCAAATTTTTCACATGTTTCAAATCCAATTCTAACACTTAATACTTCTTAATTAAGCTGATGGCAAGTCAAATCCAACTTTAGAACTTCAAAAACCTTTCTATAACAAAAGTTCATTTATAAACCCTTAATAGAAATTCCTTTCTAATTCTATCTCTTTGGTGTTTTAAACTTATATAAGCTTTCCTTAAGCTTATATAATACTCCAAGAATCAAAATCAACTTATAAATCCAAGAATTAAACAGCTGAAATTAAACTCACCTTTAAATGAGGCTTACGGGGAGAAGAAGAAGCTGGAGAAGAAGACTCTGGATAATTATCTCATTTCCCACGTGTTTTATAACCCTTAAAAGAAAGATAAAAAATCTTTCTGGTCAAATGACCAATTTACCCTTTATTTCCTTTAATAATTACTGAATAACCTTCATCATATTTCCAATAAATCATTGAACTATTCAATTATCCTACTTTAATCACCAATTTCTGAAACTTTATAATTTGGTCACTAATCCGGTATTGAGGATGTTACAGAGCTCTTAAGGAGACTTGTAGTTTGGTTGTATAATTAGTCTGTTACGACTGACTGAAAGGACGGTACTCATACTGTACTTTATAAAAGCACAGCATCTACCTGATTGTTAGAATCATGAATTAATTTTCCTGCACAACTACCATTCCTTCATGTTTCATTTCTTCTTATGTTAGGTGAATTGGGGAGTTTTTTTTTCTAGCTTGATCAATTAACCATAGGCTTGCCTTTTTAAAATTCATTCGAAAGGATGTGAGGGAAATTATTTAAAAAATGATTTTAAGCTCTTAATTTTTTTTTCTGTTATTTTACATGAATTGAACCGTTCTTATATGCTCAATTGATAGGATCTGTTGCTGAATGTTGATCTGAACAACTCTTCACTGTGGACAGGGAATTGGGATCAGCTTTGCCCTACCTGCAAGGTTTCCCGATGAACCTTTTCTTTTAACCATCTATTGCATATTTACATGAATATTCCTCATCTTGCAATGCTGTTTTGCGAATTTTATCTGTTGTCAGATAATAAGACCTATTCGTTCTAAGCACTGCCCTATCTGTAAGCACTGCATTGAACAGTTTGACCACCATTGTCCATGGATATCTAACTGTGTTGGGAAGGTAAGAAATTGGTCTTGAGCTAAATGTGGAAGATAACCATATAATGAGTGTCATCTAGATAGAAATGATCTGTTTAAGACCAATATCTTGGATGCAATTGCTATCATCTTACTGGTGCAGATATGTTTAGAAATTCATCTAGGAATAGGCTGGTAAATCACTCTTGTTTTTCATTCCTGGAGTGTGAAAAATCATATTCCTTCCGTTGCCTCTTGAATAGTTAGTTATTTTCAGTTTGGAAGATGTTATTGTTAGTGTTGATAAGAGTGTTTATATAAGGATGATATTGAAGTCACTTTGCTAGTGATATTGTTAGATGTTGAATTGAAGCCTAATATGAAGATCTAGGGCAGAAACCAATCCAGTTTCCCAGCTTTTACATCAATTCTGCAATCCATTTCATCTTTAGCCTCCTCAATTAGTTTTAGTGTTCCTTTCCCCCCACTTATCTGCTTTACTTGCTGTTCTCTTGCAGAGAAACAAACGGGATTTCTTTGTTTTCATTTGCATGGGAACTCTGACTTCATTCATTGGAGCATTCATTGCAGTTCAAAGTACCCACCTTTTCTGATTGAGATAAAATTTGTTTATATTCTACTTATTTAAAAGCTTTTGTTTGCGTCATTAGGGATTTGGACAGTAATACCTGCATTGTCTGCTGGTAAAACATGGATTCATCTTGTCATTGATCATCATCCTGGTATTGTTGCATTTCTCGTTTTGGATGTCGTGCTTTTGATTTCTGCTACGACTTTGACCATAATACAGGCATTCCAGGTAAATGAAGAGTCCATTTTTCTACTTTTAACTTTGTTTATCTGAACTATTTAAAGATTTTAAAGCTGGTTTAAGGAATGGAGAAATGACAATATCGATTTTAATCAAAACTGAAAGCAAATTGTTCCCCTTTCTATTTAAGATGATTTAACCTATATTAAAACTTTTCTGGTCTGTGTTTCCTAATGTAGATAGCTCGGAATATCACCACTAACGAAGTATCAAATGCTATCCGCTACGGGTATCTCCGTGGCCCTGAAGGACAGTTTCGGAACCCATATAATCATGGTTGCCAAAAGAATTGTACAGATCTCCTCATTCGTGGCTACACAGACGATGAAATTGCTTGGCCTCCATTACAAAGTGTTGCCAGTTAGAGAAACTACGGTTAGCTTGTGTTGTGTGTTCTTTTTTAAGTAGATGTACACATCCCATCCCACTTGTTAATATACAAACCCTTTGCACATTATGACCAGAAGAAAAGGGGTAAAAAGATACAAAAAGGATTATTCTTCGTACAGAAATGAACCTCTTCTATTTGCTTCCTGGTTAAAGGAAGATAAAACAGAAGCTTGTTCGATCTACATTGCGTTCTTAATCTTGTATTCATTACAGGAAATAGAGTAGGAGATATGGTAAAGTTCAGTAATTGATGCGTCTGCACTTGCAACGTTTGCTCATGGTTGGAGCTTTTGAAGGATTTCAAATGGAAGAAAATAGAGTAGGAGATATGGTCGGCCATTTTGCTGCCGTCCAGTTGCGTTTCATATTATACACTTCATTTATAATTTACTCTTTGTAATTGGGATGGAATCACGGTTGCAACTTGCAAGTTGTGTATTTATTTTTGGAAAATGCTTATTTTCTAAACATGACGGTTTAAACACTTGCTTGATAATGATATGAATATTCCATAGAACAATATGAACAAAACAACGTAGTCCAGCGCCTTCATGATTATTATTAGGGGAAATTATAATTAAGACCACTTAACTATTGCTCCTTTTTTATTTTGACCGTTGACTTTTTAATTTTGTTAATCAAATCATTTAATTAATTAAGTGTTGCAATCAAGTCATTTGTTGCAAACATTTAACGGTAATGGAAGATGTGACGTGATTACGGAAAAATTGATATAATAATAAATATAGTCATTAATATTTATACATTTAATCAATTTAATCCTAATTTTAATTCAATTAAATAAATTAAAATTTAGGACTAAATTAATTGAATATGAAAATATTAAAGATCAAATGTGTAATTATATCAATTTTTTAACAATAACATCACCTCTTTCATTAAATGTTAATGACAAGTAATTTGGTTATAACACTTAAATAATTAAATGATTTTATTCACAAAATTAAAAGATCGACTATCAAATAAAACTGATTAATAATTAAGTGATCATATGTATAATTTACTCTTATTATCATTACTCAATCGACAGAAACGACGTAGTCCGATGTCCTTCATCTTTTCCGTTTTCGTCGATCACCAGCGGAATAAGAATTGGGCCCCACGCTGACAAATGCCGACCAATCACATTTGTTTCGCATCATTTTCTCGCTTCTAATTGGTTGCTTAACGCCACGTCATCTCCCCAATCCTCCACCATTCATCTATAAAAACGTTGTGCTAATATTTAATCCAAAAGAGAATAAAATAACAAATATATAATCAGATTTCGGTTCTCTCTTAGCCTTTACGGAGTTGTTTTGCAGTGGACGGAAGACGATGAGGGTCGCCTGTTCTAAATCTTGCATTCTCTCATTGGCTTTCGTTTTATTTACGATTGTATCCTCTTCCACCGCCTTGGTTTCAACTCCCTATCCGAAGGCCGTCTCTGTAAGTTCTTTTAATGCTTTTTTTTATACAATCCATTGATATTTTTGGGGTTTTTCGTTATGAATTTGATGGGTTTTCTTTTTGGGAGTTTTTAGGATTTGAAAGATGTTGTGAAGGGATTGGCATTCCAAGCAGATGATTTTAAGATTTCAGGTTTGATATGAGGGATGCCCTTGTGGGCCATTCGGTGGCATATGAATTCGACATTGGAATCGATAATAAAGTGATTCCTTTTACGCTTTTGGAGGATGTAAATCGTTGGGATTACTGGAAGAGCCGGCTAGACCCGGAGATGAAAATGAGTTGGTGGAGCAGAAGGGGATTTCGGACTATGGGTTACCCGTTTTGGCCCCGTTTCAGCTGGCTGGACCAATGGAACTCTGGATTCAGGATGCCAAAGATATGCGAATCTCCTTACCGGTGATTTTTTTCCTTCTTTTTTTATATATATATTTTCCCCTTTTTCGTGTAACAAAAGTTTTATTCTTTGAAGCTTTGATATTGGGAATTTTGTTACTTAGGGATCTTAGTATTCATTGTTCATAACAAGTTTATTGGTGGTTTGATACTCTTGACTTGCATATCTTTGAAGTATATTTATTAATCTTATTGGTGGTTGATCCCGCAGCACGATGTAGATGCCGGTGTCCTGAAAAAGGTTATTTTAGCCGACAGTGCCGTGGTGACTGTCAAGGGTGCAAGATCAGTTAGTCTGCGCCATTCAGTCGATCTTCCGTTGCTTCTTAACAGAACTTATAATGGATTTGCATCCGGCCTTATGGCCCTTGCTCTGAGCATCTTCGTTTTGGGTCCAAAGGCAAACAAGAAAGGTTACTTTAAGTTACTCAAGGCTGATGTGGCGGCTCAAACGTTTGTGAAGATTGGTTTCGGGGTGGAGAAGAAGTTGAAAGAAGGAGATGGGTTTAGTTTGGAGGGCTTTCCTGAGTGGAGGACAAAGCCCTAGACGGTGAGAATGAACTTTGAGGTACTCGCCAAGGTTGAGGGGGAGAAAGTTATACCAGAGAGAATCATGCAGGTTGACCCTGTTGCTATGGAGGATACAATCGCACCAAACGAGCTGGCGGGGAACACGTCCATGTCAACCACTCCTGTTGTTCACCCTCCAAATCCCTTCACCTTGTAAATTGTTAAAGGGAGAAGAAGTGTCGAAGGTTTGAATTAGTTAACGAAACTGTAAAGACCGAGAAGAATCAATTTACCAGAAGATGTGAGCACATCATTTGTATTTAGGTCTCAATCCATGGAGATTCTTCAGAGTATCAAAACATATACAAAGCCCTTTTAACAGATTTTAAGTAGTTTATATATTGAACGACGCTCTCAGCAACACCAAATTTATTTGTTGATGAATGCAATACCCTTTTGAATGCTTCCAGCTAACTCTTCCTTTGCTTTCTCCAAACCAGCCCTGTTTAATAATCAGAGGGATTGACTGAGTTAATCTGCTATCTGTACCTAAGATAATAAGTGATTATATTTCTGACATAATATACCTCTCGTATTCGTTTAGGGGCCCTAGTTGAAAGACTTCCTCGGCTCCGGTACGACCAAGTCGTACCTTGGTTGCAAAGAAAGGAAGATTGGTAACCTGCGATCGAAATTGTTAAAGAAAATGTGAAAATGCAAGAAACAAGAAGAGTGTTGGCATGAAATGCCCGTATGAGAGGTACCTGGGAAGCTACAAAGGCACATTCCACGATTCCGGCATCACCTCTCAAGCCTCGGAGGCATGCATCTGCAAATTTGACAGCTGCATATGCCTATACGCACGTAAAAACCTTCCCTTTAGTTTATTTCATCCATCAACATTTTAAAAGAAAATAAGGAATCTGTTACAGAATGAATTGGAGATAGAATGGCCAACCATTGACAGAGTTGCAGATCCACCCCCAGCTTTTGCCTGCATAAGTGAAAAGATGAAACTTATAATTCAAGCATATCGATATATAACTCGTAAGAATAACACTTGCTCGTAGTTACTAGCCCCTCTGCATTTAGCAGGGAGCTAGTCCGAGGTTTGAACTTAAATCCCTTCTTTTTCTCGGAAACAGTTAATGGTGGTACATGGGAGACCGGACTAAGAAATGTTGAGGATGTTCCGACTTCTACTGTATATTTCATTTTGTTGATTCTGCAATCTCTGTTAAGGAAAACAAAGGGAACATTACCATACCTCAACAACTTCTGTCCCACCATTTTGAATGCGGTTTGTTAGATAATCAGTTTCTTCAGGGGTGAAGCTGCATGAAGGCTTGACCTGCAAAGATTTAAATCAAGAATAATTAACCGATGATAGATTATCAGAACTGAAAACAACTGAAATTTATAGATACTGTTGAAGACCTGTGATAAAAGAGGCAAAATTGTCACTCCTGCATGACCTCCAACAACAGGGACATTAACTTCTCTTGGATCAAGTCCCAGGACTTCCGCCTGTACGGAAAGACGAGAAAGTTTGCATATATAAGGATTAAAAACCAGAAATGCTGCAAAATTCTTGGTGCTCTAATAGAATGGTGGCTGAAGACATTGATTCTTCCATAGTCTACCATTATACGGTTATGCATACCACAAAAGTGTTTGCTCTGACGACATCAAGAGTCGTAACTCCCAAAAGTCGCTTTGGGTCGTAAGTACCGGCCTTCTTAGAGACCTCTGCCGCAATTGGAACTGTAGAATTCACTGGATTGCTTATCAGATTAACAATTGCATTTGGGCAGCACTTTGCGACTCCTTCACAAAGTGTCTTGACAATTCCAGCATTGATGTTGAAAAGGTCATCCCTTGTCATTCCAGGCTTTCTTGGAACACCAGCAGGTATGATCACAAGGTCCATGCCGGTCAACGCACTCTCGAGCTGTGGTTGCCCCAGGAAACCACGTACCTAGAACCCCCCCCCCCCAAAAAAATACTCGTATCGACGTTTTTGATTCGACATAATAATTTTTGTTCACTGTTAAATAATTGAAGTCAGAAACAACAGGAGAAGAAATATTACCACTGCACCAGTGTCCATGTGACTGAGATCAGCTGTGACACCAGGGGAGTTCACAACATCATAAAGATGAAGAACCGAAACAAGCGGATTCATCTTCATTAACATTGCAAGAGGCTGGCCGATGCCTCCAGCAGCTCCTAGGATAGCAACCTTGAACCCCGGTGACCCTCCTTTTGCTCGGCAATCAGCTCGCCTCAAAACAGAACTTTCCTCCATCTATTAAAACCAACACAAGAAAATAAACAACAAGAAACCCACCTTATTAATTAAAACTTGTTCTTATTAGACAACACGGAAGAGAACCCGGAGATTCGAAGGCTGGAGATGAGCCGCGATCCTGGCGATGCGCTGGTTAGCCTCCATTACTTTTTTCTTTTTTCTAGAGAGATAAACAGACAGTGAGGGTTAAAACGCGGGGTGGAGGTTAATATTCGGTTCTACCTGTGGCAAGAACGAATGGATTTGAACAGAAAAGCAAAAAAAGAGATAACGGTGAAGTTGACATAAATGTATATATTCATTTTGAGAAATTTTGATTGTGTGGAAACTATATTTTGAAGTCCTTATCCTATCTTTTAATCGCAAAAGAAATTCGTCTCTCAAAAACATGGTCTGGCTTCATTTCCAGGGTGATAAAATACTTGAGATGCCTGTTTTTTTTGCTCAAATACTTGTGTCTATATAATGCAAGCTGCTAACTGTAATAAATTATCAATATTTATTTCATCAACAGCTGCTAGTCGTCTTAATCAAAATTTACGATCAAATATTTTTTATTTACAGAATGGTGCGAACTTTAGTCGTTGCAGTAAATACTCGAAAAAGATAAATAGATTGCATATCAAAGCTAGAACAAACTTATGGCAATGGATTACAGTTACAGTTCTACGACAAAATTGTAAAAAAAATCCAACTCAAAACATCAAGGCTATAATGTCTGTCACAGTATCAGGGTTGGGATTTGGCATCGTGATGACAATGGTTGTAGACGATAATTTTAGAGAAATCAAACTAGTGTTTGAGCACTTGTTCCTTTAATGGTGACCAAAGGTTTAGTTGGATGTAACTAGGCCTTTGATTTTTTCCCTTTAGCTTCAGCAGCAGGTTTGGCCTTGAAAGGCATGAAGGACTTCCCGCCCATGAATGGCCGTAAAACTTCTGGTATTTCAACACCGTCTTCCTTCTGGTAATTCTCGAGGATGCAGCACAAGGTCCTTTCGGTCGCCGTAAGAGTAGAGTTCAACAAATGCACATATTGTTTTGCCTGTTCATTGTTCTGCAACAGGTAAACAATGGAATGCGGTTACAAAGCATGGACCAGAATTCAAGCAGCAGACTCAAGACTTGAGATGATAGATATTAAGCTATGGAAGTAGTTTCAGATTAATGCTAAACTGGTTTGAACTCTTATGAAATATGAAGATGGGAAAAAGGATGAATCGGTTTATATTTCTTAAACACTTGCACTCTGATTTTTTATATATAACAAGGCAAAAACCAATACAACCCACCTTTTTCTGCCCATATCTAATTTCCAGTCTCCTTGATTGATAATCTGTACAGTTTGAGCATGACACAAGCTCTCTGTAAGTCTGAGATGCAGGAAACCATGCTTCCAGGTCATATTTCTTGGCAGCAGCGTCATTAAGAGCACCAGAAACAATCACCACAATTTGATAAGGAAGCTTTAGCTGCAAAACATAAGTCACACTAATCCATGTAAAGATTCTTCAGCCTTAAAACTTCAGATGAAATAAGCTTTAACTAAACGTAGTACATTATCAACTGAGGAAAACTTGTGCATGGTTAGGCACTTTAGGTTGAAGGGCAAAGATTCCAATTTCTTTATTTAAAAGCGAGTTTCACTATGAAAACCAAAAAAAATTATCCCATGACCACCACTAGCCCTTCCACATGGCATGTGAAATAAATATGAAGGTAGCATAATAGAGCTCATTGGTCCAGATAAAGCCAACATTCAAAGAGTTCTATGATAGACACAAATGAGATTGGGTGAAAAGACTGGAAACTGTTACTAAATGCATTTGGAGTTATACCAGCTGATAAAAATCCTCAGAGTTTTTAATCATTTCCTCATGCATGTCCCAGGAGTCATTACCATTTGGACTGGTAATGCAGAACTGCTCCACTTTCTCAAACTGATGAACCCGGAAAATTCCTAGGGTATCGCGACCGTGTGAACCAGCCTCTTTGCGGAAACAAGATGAATATCCAGCATATCTGGGGGAAAAATATTTTCATAAACAAATAGCAACAGGAAACCCTTGACTAGAAATATAGCCATCACTTCTTTTTCATGGTTAGAACCTTTTAGGCAGCTCAGAGGGCTGGATCCAGTCATCTATGTGGTAAGAACAAAGTGGTTGTTCAGCAGTTGCAATAAGATATTTATCCTCACCCTCACCAGTCACCTAATGAACATCAACAAAACCTGTAATGCTTTAATGATTGGCAAATTCTTAACCTTAAAGAACAGCAACCATTTTCTTTTGTTTCTATTTCCTAATTATAAGAGGAATACTTCCTTGATAGCAAGTAAAGTCAGTAACAAAAAATTAAATCATCTCAATTTTGTAAAAAAAGTTCAAATCTTAGAACTTGAAAGAAAATCAAGACCACCCCAGTATATGGAAAGATGTGAGATCTCCAAATCAATCTAAAAATGTTACCTTGTAAAGTTCCTCGTCAAATTGTGCCAATTGGGCACACTTGGCCATAACCTCTTTTCTCATGAAGAACGGTGTTTGCAAAGCTGTATACTGCCTTTTCTCCAGAAAATCTAGCCCGAAATTGATCAAAGCTTGATTGAGGCGCACCCCATCTCCCTTTAGGTAGTAACCTCTACCTCCTGCTACATCAGCACCTATAGTACAGGGTAAGAGATCATCAGTTAAATGATTCCAAGATAAACTAACCAATTCAATTAGCTAGCTGAATTCATGCATAAAACAAAGCAAAGTTCATCATTAGAGAAACAACCTAAGGTTTCACAAACTAGTAGCTTAAAGAGAGACGCTAAACATCTTAAAACCAATAAACAATATACTCCATTACATACAGCAAAGCATGATAACCCTGAAAAATGCAATTACCCTTTTTTGTATCTGCAATCCCAAGAAGCTCGACAAGCTCAACATGATTCTTTAACTTAGGTTCCACACGCTTCTCACCCCAAGTTCTAATCACAGCATTATTTGCCTGCAATATATTGTCCACTTCAGTAAATTACACTGATTAAAGCATAAGCAATCAAAAAACCAACGGAATGAATAAAATTTGCTGGGTCAGTCACCTCGTCATCACTGACGGGAACTGAATCGTGCACAAGGTTACCGATTTTTTCCAATTTAGATTTCAAAACATCCCAAGAATCCTTAACCTCAACGTCTTTCTCGCCTATTTTCTGCTTAACTTCCTCTGTCTTTGCAATCATCTCTGATGCATCTTGCTTAGCCTTTTCCACATCGATTCCAACAACAAAAAACAAATGAAGAAAATGCCATAACTAATAGAAGAAACAAACGAGAGAAAACGAAAACTCACAATTTTAAGTTGAGCGACTTGCTTGTTGATCTTATTGAACTCTTTTCGCAGATTTTCAAGTTCATATAACACTGTACATGAAACTTAGCATTAAAAACGGAAAATAAAAAAATAAAATTAAATCGATACGTGAGAATGAGATTGGGAGATAACGTTGACGATAAACTTTGTCGAGGTCGATGATGGCGTCGACATCTCCGACGTTGGCGTAACGCCGCCGCAAAGATTCACGAACGATCTCAGGGTTGTGACCCTTCTCCTCTCTGAACAAATTGATGTCCAGCATATTTTTCTCTTCAGGTAACAATGTGAGTGAAATCGACCGTGTCGGGACTCGGAAATGAACCAGCACTAAAGATAAAACAGTATAAGAACTCGAAAACCCTAGTTTCTGATATTGTTTGGTTCCAAGTTCGCGCTATTCTTTCCTCTGATAGTTGTTCTGGATTCACAATCCACTGGGCGTTTCCCGTTTGAAACTATTGGGCTTCTAGGGCTGCTTTTAATTTAAGCCGAATTGAATTAACAATCTAACTAGCCATTGACTATTAATCCATTTTTTAGAGGTATATATTAATCCAATTCGACTTATTTACGTAAATATTGGGGGATATTTTGGTAAAAGTATTTAGAGAGTTGGTGTATTTTGAACCGTAACAGTTGAAGTTTTTTATGGATAAATTATAGGATTGATTACATTTATTTAAGTTTGGAATATTTTTTTACTAAATTTAAAAAACATAATATTTGGTTATTTTATTTTTATTTAATTAATATATGTCACTGAAGATTAATTGTAGTTAGAGTTCTTAAGGATTATTGGCGTGTCACAATAAATATATATATAAATAAAAAGAATTAACTATATAAATAGTCACTAATATTTGAGTAAAATTTCATTTTTTATTGAAGTTTCAAAATTAACCAATTAATCGAGATAATTTGCAATGTATGTCCAAGAATAATAATAGATACGGAACTCCACTGACACAAAGGGAGCAGTTGAAGCATTACCAACTGTTGTAGTCGAATCAATTTGCAGTGTTCTCACAACTAGAAGAATAGGAGCGTATATTTCCTGGCAGAAGTGCCCAAATAATGATTTAGTGATTGTTTAATTCCCAAAAAAATCCAGTTTACTTATTATTTCCCGAAATGGGGTGAAATGTACAGTGCTTCAAGTGGTTCTTCGGATATCTCGGCGTTTTTAGGGTTAATTTTTTCCATGCTTGATTTCTCGGCGTCTTTAGGGTTATGACACTAGGGGAATGCTCGGCGTCTTCAAGCAATTGGACTGTGGGATCTCTCGGCGTCTTCTGCATGCTACAGGGAATGCCAAGGTGGATCTCTCGGCGTCTTCACCTGTCGTCTGGCACACGGGAATCTCTACATGACTCTCTGAATCGTGCATGCATGCTGGGGGGCCTGGACGTCTTCATTTCTACATGACTCTCTGCATGCATGCAGAGTTGCTTTAACACTTGAATACAATAATAATGGGAGTGCTCGGTGTCTTTAGTTAATATGGTTACAAGGGCGTTCGATTTCCCGGCGTCTTCAGCTATACATGGAGAATATTTGGTTGCAGGTGGTCGTGAAATCTCGGCGTCTTCTTCTTCCTCCGAGATTCGTTCTGCATGCGTCTGTATTCTTTGTGGCCGAAGCGTGAGATTCATCTGAAGCGTCTGTATGCTTTGGGGCTGAAGCGTGAGATTTGTTGCATGCTTTGAGACTAATAATTTGCTCGAAGTCTTCAATTGCAGGGATGGTATTATAAAAAAACGTCAATAATTGGTGCACCGACTTGTTATAAAATAGGGGTGGGTATTGTATTTCATTGCATGCAGTTGGTTTTAACTTACAGAAGCAAGTGAGGGAATTTTTTTTGCATTAGATTCAATTGGAGCTGCTGCTTGAAGTGATATTGGAGATTTTTGTTGGTTCGGTAATTTTTCGAGCTTTGGTTTAATGTAGTTCAAAAACACGTAAGTTCTTTCTCGTTTCCCATGCGAACTCTGTTTTTTTCGTGTTGAAAGAATGCTCATATATGTTAGGAGAATGATACATTTAAATTTTGTTCATGAGACCATAGTAATGTAATTTAGAGTACTAATGTTAATTTAAAATTAGAAAATGTAAGTTTGATGATTAGGTATACGGAAAATTTAAGTTTGAGTATTATTGTTAATTTAAATTTTCGTGTGATTTTTAGTTGTATTTTTATATAATAATTATTAGAATTTTTATTTTGATTTAGTGGGAAAAAAATTCCCATTATGTAATCCTGACATTTTTACCGTAATAATAATGTATTTAAGTATTATTTTTATAAAACAATTGTTAACATAATTTATATTTATTATTTATAGTTTTGTAAATAATTAATTTTCATTACATTATTAATGTAATTTATTCTGAATATCTATATTTTTACGTGTAGAGAAAATGAGCAACAAATTTTTCACGATTGTCCATTACAATGGACATATGATGGAAAATGAGGTCGGAGTTATTTTTCAGTCTGAAACACCTATAAATATGATGTTTAAAAGGGACATCACATTTGCAGAGATCAAGGAGAGGATAGAAAGAAAAATACGTGCTAAAGTTGATGGTTTGAGGTACAGATTTATGGTATGTCCCAATCCGGTCAGGTATGCTGCAGTACCACTTGAAGAAGACGATGATATTATAACTATGGTTGAATTACATGACTCAACAAATATTCCAATTATTGAGTTATTTGTTGAGTTGTGTAATATATCTAATGTGCCTGGGTCATCAATAAATGTGGTTGGAACTTCATCTCAAATGGGTTTCGAGAGTCATTTCGATAACCCAACATATAGGTCAATGAACAGCTTTGTGGCGATGTTGGAAAGTGCAAATGAAGTTGGTGGAACATCTGGAGCCGCAGAGTATGATGCTGAAAACCACTGGGAAGAAATACTTGAAGATTCCAGTGAAGATGAAGAAACTGAGGAACCTCTTTTGGCTGAGGATGATGCCATGTTCCATGGTGATGAAGCTGATATCAATATTGATGAATATTCGACATCGTATCAACCTACCCCTCACATGCAGGAGATTGATTATGAAGCAATGAGGGCACCTGAATTCCCGGAGATGCCACATTTAACTTCAGGCTATATGATTGAATCGTCCGATAACTCTGGTGAATTAGCAGTTGGGAAGCAATACAGAGGAAAAAAGAAGCTACACTAGCGATTAAAGAGTATTGCATAAGAGGCCATGTAGATTGCAAGACTGCAGAGTCCAACCAGAAAACTTTGTACGCGAAGTGTGTTAAATATGGGCCCGAGTGTAAATGGTTGATCAGAGTGTCCAAAATGCAGAGGCAAGATGCTTGGGTCATCACAAGGTACAATGGTCCACACACATGTTTGCAAAACTCTATCGAACAAGACCACCGACTACTGGACTCCGATGTAATTTGTCAATATGTGAAGGTTTTGGTTGAACAAAATCCAAGGATCCCTTGCTCGGTGTTAGCTGCATCTATTCGAGACCAGTTCTGATACAATGTAAAATACAAACCCGTGTGGCATGCGAAGGAAAAGGCAAGGAGGTTGATATATGGCGATTGGGATACATCATACAATGAGTTACCTGATTTGTTACGAGCTATGAAACAATTCATACCTGGAACCATCGTGAAGTCTCAGACCATGCCTGCATACGACCGAGAAGATCAACTTGTTCAAGGGAAGAGAATATTCCATAGACTATTTTGGGCATTCAAGTCTTGCATAGAAGGTTTTCCATTTTGTAAACGTATGGTCCAAATAGATGGTACGTGGTTATACGGTCAATACAAACATATATTATTGATAGCAGTTGCGCAGGATGATCAACGAAATATATTCCCAATTGCATTCGCCATCGTTGAAGGAGAGACAACAGAGGCTTGGGACTTCTTTCTCAATAATCTACGTAAGTATGTCGTCCGAGAAGAAGGAGTTTCCTTGATATCCGATCGAGGAACTGGCCTTTTGGCAGTAATTGAACGACCGGGAAGTCGTTGGACACCTCCGCACGCATATCCCGCATATTGTATCCTTCATATTGGTAAGAATTGTATTGAGAAGTTTCATAACGGCCGTATTCGTAGGGAGATAGTCAGCATGGGTAAGTTTTATTTTCAGCATTTGTACTCATTTATGTGTTTGTTTATAAATTGACTTTAACACAATATCTATTTTGAAACAGGATATGAACTACGCCAACCAAATTTTGACAAGAGATTGGAGGATTTGAAGGCCATAGATGAGCGCGTTTGGAAATGGGCGTCGAAAATCGAGCGGGAGAAGTGGTCGCAAGCATACGATTGTGGTCGGAGATACGGACACATGACTACAAACCTTGCTGAGGCCATTAATTCAGTACTAAAAGGTATACGACATCTCCCAATAGCGAGTGTGGTGAAAGAGACATACTTTAGGTTTGGCTAAAGTTTGGTCTGATAAAGGGAAAGAGATCGAGTGTCTGATAAATCGAGGTAAAATCTGGGCTCCGACGGTGGTAGAAGCAATGGAAGCAAATGAGCGTATGGCAACCTCAATGTTTGTTCATGACTTCGATCGAATTGGACATACTTTTGTTGTCATCGCATGCATACGTCGCAACGAAGGAGCAGATCGAGAATCATTTACTGTTAATTTACGACAAAGATGGTGTGATTGTAGCCGCTTTCAGGCGTGGAGATATCCGTGTGTTCATGCAGTCGCTGCATGTATGCATACTGGACTCAATTCATACACTTATGTTGATGAGTGCTTTCACCTACAGAGGATATTAAATATATACAACCATGAGTTCAGACCGATCCCAAATGAATCTTATTGGGACAATCGAGATCATGATGAATGGTTGCCAAATCCACTACTTCGTAGAAGTCCAACGGGTCGACCGGAATCTACTCGTATTCATACCAGTATGGATATACATATTAAAGAGAAAGGCCAACCGAAGAGGTGTGGATTATGTAGAGGTGAAGGGCATTCAAAAAGAAATTGTCCAAACCTTCCACGGTATAGACCTCAGCAGTAATCTTATTATTTTATAAATTTTTATATTATATGCGATTCAATTACTCGAGTACATATTTAATAATAATTATTTAAATTTAATTATTTAACTTTAATGATTTAATAATAATTATTTAACTTTAATGATTTAATAATAATTACTTTAATGATTTAACTTTAATGATTTAATAATAATTACTTTAATGATTTAATTTTAATGATTTAATAATAATTACTTTAATGATTTAATTTTAATGATTTAATGATTTAACTTTAATGATTTAATAATAATTACTTTAATGA